AAGAGACTTTAGCACGAAATCACGATAAAAGAAGAGACGAAACCACTATCACGATAGAGATAGTGACGCTACGGCAGAAGATAACGCGACTTCGCCAGAGTGGCGATGCCCTAGATGGAATAAGCCGGTATTATCTCTAAAGCATTCTAGGCTTAGTGGGTAGCGCCTATACTTTTCCCCCCTAAGCTTTACTCTAAGGATATATTTAGAGTGGTTCACGATTTCAGGATTTTTAACTCAGCTTCTGAGCGTCCTGCTTATCCTTGCCATAACCTTAAAACCGACTTGGACTCGGTGCACTAAGGCCGCCCTATAGTATACTCGAGTTACGACGCCTTTAACGGATTTTAGGGTATATAACTTCACCCGGACTCCAAGCACCTCTTTATAGTGATAGGACCGAACGGCGTATAGTATTATAACCGAATGCTATAGGGACTCTCTGGTTCGCCGAGTATATACGCTCGGTACGGCGATATGGTTTTTAGTGATATCTTCGACGACGACGATAGTACCTCTAGGGAATATACGTACTATCCTTCTATACTCGGTTATATAAAGGAACTCGAATCTAATCTCTTTATCTACGTGGACGATTATAATATAGGCAGTAAGGATTTCTTTATACACTTTATATACTTATGGGTTAACTACTTTCCGAGGGTGATACTGGGACCGATTAGGCTCGCGCCTAAGAAGTGTCACTTTTTTCTTAATTATCTTAACCCTATCAGCACCTATATTTACGACGGGAAAATCCGCCCAGGACATAAGCACAGAGATAAGTTCCTCGATTTTACGAAGCGGTTCGGTGAAACGCCCCCTGCGTCGTGGGAAGAGATATAACCATTATTATAGTGCATACCACCTTTCCGAAAGTATATTCCCGGCAGGGCCGGGTAGGAAGATATTATCAAATCAGCATTTTTCGAATACAGACCAACACTTACTCCTCTGGGTAAGCTAAGTATTCGGAGGAAATATATACGACGACTAGTGCCGACCTGGGGACCGGAATAGACGCTGGCCTTGCAAAGGCTATGCAGAGCTATACAGGACAACGTTGTATTTGGAGCCCTGGATAATATGCAGTTTCACCTGTCGGCCGATGCGTCGGAATATAGACTGGGTGCGGTTCTTATGTAACTGGAAGGATGCCCGGCAGGTACCAAAATTATAGATAAGAATTAGGACGCGGTAAGAGTTATTCAGTTTATGTCTTTTCGGCTAGGTGAAGCCGAACGAAGATATTCCTTGCTAGAAAAAGAAACGCTTATAGTGCTAAGAGCACTATAAGAAACATAATAGCTTACTATATATAGTCCGACGCTAATCATAGTCTACTCCGATTATCTTAGTATTATACAGTTAATATATAAAGTCATAGAAATCCACGGGAAACTTTTAAAATGAATTAAGAAACTGACCGAGTTCGACTATCACTATCTCTATCGACCGAACACACAAAAGATCATTAAGGTCGCAGACGGTTTAAGTCGCATGCTAACTCATGTATAAGATTAACCTCGTTTACTATAGCGCCGAGAGGCACCCGAATTCTCGATAACGGACGGACGCCTGAACGTTATTATACTAGCTCGGGTCGAGCTCTCTTTTTAAATAGGGCTACGAGCGGAGAGCTATCCGGTGCTAAGTCCGATACACCTGACACTGCTAGCTATATTAAGGGACTTAGAGAGACGGGCTATACCTCTAAGAGTTACCGCAGAGCCTATGGATATCTCGATAGAGGCCAGACACGAACTATTAAGATACCTTCTAGACCTAAATCACTAGGACTTAGAGGTGTGGTACGGCAGTATTATACGACGTATTATGCTAGGGCCCGCTAGCTGCGAACACGAAAAGAGAGCTAAGAAGAGACTTATCCAATACATAAGCGGGAAGTACTATATTTACGGCATTCACTTGTATAAGGTGGAAAGGGACGAGTCGCTGGCGAAATACATACCTGCGTCGGATATGCCGAAGCTCCTGTAACGATTTCACGATATTAAGGGACACTACGGCATCAATATCGTGCTGGCGAACTTGAAGGGACGATACTACTAGCCGAGCAGAGTGGAGGATTTAACGGATTACGTCCGCTCGTGCGCTATATGCTAGTAAACAGGTCCGAGAGTCCTAAGACTGCCGCCGGGGAAGGTTATAGTGTCTGGACCGCTGGAGTTAGTGGGAATGGATTTCATAGGCCCGATAAGTCCTTATTCAGCAGACGGGCACCAGTATATTTTGATACTAATTGACTACCTAACGCGTTTTGTGTTGCTGTATCCCACGAAGGCAGCCGACGCTCCATCAGTATACGAGGCTCTGCAGGAGAGAATGGCACCCGTTTTCGGATGGCCTAAGTTCTTTTACTCAGATAATGGTTCACATTTCAAGAACGCCTTCATGGAAGCCGTTTCCGGACACCACGGTACACGAATGATTTTCGGACTAGTGTCTCACCCGAGCTCGACTAGACTCCCAGAGAGTGCGGTGAAACTGGTCAAAGCATAGATGCGAAAGTATACGGTGTCGAAATCATCGGATGGTTTAAGGCGTGGAGACGTGACGAGATGGCACCGCGAAATCCCGATTATGCCGTAGAAAATTAATGCGAGGTATGTATTATCGATTGGAATATCGCCTGCGGAGGCGATGCTGGGATTCTCTCTATCTTACGGCGATGACGCCGTGGATAAGGAGGAACTCGAATAAGTATAAGAATACCGCGATAATGGTGAAGAGACTCTCGCGATAGCACTGGGCCGACACGGCGGAGGCACTTTGCCGAAGGTGCTGGAGCTACAGGAATCCCTGGAATCAGCGTTGGATTTGGATAGCTTCCGTAGTTGCGCGATGTTAGGCGTGACGATCGAGACTCGAGATAAGCGGCGATAGAGAATAAACCGTTTTAATGTAAGGATATAAGAGAAGGAAGAAATTAAGCTCACTAAAGTTGCCGAGTAGCTGAAACCTGATATATACGTGTGGGAGTTTGCGGATAAGCGCGATAAATCGACTTCGACATTCGATCCTACCTGGTTAGGACTATTTCGGTTATACTAGTAAGCGTCGGAAGTTTCGTGGTGGGTTATGACGAAGCTAGAGGGACCGCTGGATAAGGTGAAGAAGGACTAATGCAGGAAGATATATATAAACCACCTTAAACCGGTGACGTTGCGTCCGAAACATTTGATCGGTCACTGTTAGGAGGTCACCACTGAAGGCGTGGACTTGAGAGTCGTGAAAACTACACGGACGGAAGACGCCGGGTTACTTGATTTGCTTGCGGCGCCGGTATACCACAGGTATCGGTTATAGCTGGAGGACTGAAAAGGGAATGAAGTATTATTCGGATACTGGTGTACGATGAGCGTTATGGTATATGGTAAGAGGAGTGCAAGATCAGGAGTATGGGTTAGTTTAGGAGGTTTTTATGTCGTCAAGCTCGAGGACGAGCTTAGTATGAAATCCGGCAGGCTGTGGGGTAGGTCATGTGACCTACCCTGGGATAGCTAGCTTATCTCTTCTATCCATGGTACGTAGCGTAGCTACTAGATTCTTCCGGAGACAGAGACATCCATACCATATATACGACGATTATCTCAAGTGTCAAAACTGCTCCCTGCAGACTGACTGATTTCTTTCGGAGCTTCGGGGTTTGACATAGCCACTTGAATTCTCAAAAGTCGTCTTATCTTATTGTTAGGTAGGTATCGAGAGCACCTAAGTACCTAAGGTATATACGAAGTACGAAGATGCTAGCATTCGGTACAACGTACCTACGTTGTACTCGATGGTTGACGAGAACAATGGAGCACACCAGACCGTTGGGAAGGCCGTTGTGACACGACTCTTGAGTTCGCATAGGTACCTCTTAGTAAGGTGTTCGAAAGGTACCTAAAACGGTAGCTCCACAGTGCCCATACTAATTTCATTACTACGTAAACACTGTGGCTAGTCTTGTACCGGGCACTTCGCTGATGCGGCGAAAATATAGGAACACATTGGTCAAGATACAGCCAAGCTTCCTTCGTATTACACAGTACGGCGTGATTATGGATACCTCAGGTAGAAGCCGCACCACACGGTACCTAAGGTACAAACCTCCAGGGCAACAGAATTCGGAGGGAGCACTAACGACTACGAAGTAGAGCAAATAGTTGAACATTTCCCGTGATCTTGGCTTCCCGCGTCGACTCCCAACTCGTTTGCCGTCGGATACCCTTCATTCGTGTTCACCAACGCACAGGCCGTGCCGTTGTTATTTCCACTTATCTGTATGATGTATACTGACCCTTGTCGTCCCTGTCATCATCCGTTAAATCCTACAAGAATATAATAATCGCGAGCCCTAACATCAAATCTCCGTTTATGAATTCCGAACACTCACCACACCGGCTTTCCCCTTCACATCTGGCGCATATTGATTCTTCTTCCGCCTGTTTCCGTTGCCTAACTACTACTGGTGCGCCGAATACATCTTGCGACACCATCTTTGAGCCACTTCAAGCATCAGCTCCACGAGTATCTCCGTCCGGACCATTGCCGACAAAATCTCCTAGTTCTCCATCGTGGAATCCATGGGAGCATCCTGTTCTACCGCACATAAAAACGATATCGCTTCGGAGTACGATGACAGGGTCAACATCTCCGCATATAAAACTTCGAGCTCACCCCCGTCCTCTTCCTCCGCGGCCGCCAAGGGGCTCAAAAAGCCGAAGTGTCGCCATCCCTCTCACCATCACCAAAGCACCATCATGACCCGCAACAACAAAAACACACAAAACTTCGACGCAGAGGCCACTGTCCCTATCATCAAAGCTCACGACGAGGTAATACGGGCGCGTATCGCTCGTGCTGGTCGGAGCTGCGAGCCCGGATCCGGGTTAGATCCAGGCATTTCCGCTCAGGGACCCGAGTTTCAATCCATCCCCCTCGATGACTCCATTAATGCCGCCGCCACAAGCCGGGGGACCCAGTTTTCCGATCTCGATGACTACGATCGTCAACGACGCCAGCTCAATCTGAGGGAGAAGGCCATGTCCTTTGCTTTCCACAAGGAGGCCACCGCCTCGGACCTCGAGCGCCGGGCCGACCAGGTTCTCCAGCGCTTCAAACGACATGACAAGGTCGAAGTATACGATGCTGCAGAGCCGAGGACGGGCTGGCGTGGTCAGAAGCACCCTCGGTTCCCGGGCGACCACTTCCTCGCCAACATCGACCTCATCGAGAAGACCAAAGTCTTCAAAGTGGCGCAGATGGCCCCCAAAGGAGCGCATCTACATATCCATTTAAACTCGTGCCTTTTGCCGGTCGTGCTGCTGGACGTGGCGAAGACGATGGATCGCATGTTTATCTGGAGCAACATGCCCCTCGTGGAGAGCGAGGCACACGCCTTCGACCGGTGTGAGATCCAGTTCTCGATCCGAAGTGTCGAGCGAGAGAGGGAGAGACCCGGTGGGAACCTGTTTGACCCGAACTACCAGCCCGGCCAAGAAATGAGGTTCGACGAATTTCTCGAATCCTTCCCCAGGGACCGAAGGGGAGATCCGGAGAGCTGGTTGGTCCAAAAGCTCATGTTCTCCGAGGAAGAAGCCCACCATCACTGTCAAACGGCTAAAGGGTGAGGTTGTCCGAGTTAAAAGTCTTGTGTGGATGGTCGGCGGGGGGGGCAAGGGGGAAGCTAATGTTGGTGAGATGACAGGGCCTGGGCGATTTTCAACGGCCGAACCCGCATGATGAAGGGTCTCTTCAACTACGCCACAGCGTACCGAACCTACACGAGGCGTCTGTTGGAAGACTTTGTCAGGGACAACATCCAATACGCCGAGATCCGCCCGAACTTCATGTCCACGAACCAGCTCTGGACCGACGACGGAACCGAGCAGATCGGCAACGAGGGCATCATGACGATCATCATAGAAGAGACCGAAGCCTTCATGAAAGAGCGCCCGCACGCGTTCGGTGGTATGAAGGTCATTTACTGCACGCCCAGGTGTTTCGACAACGCGGAAGTCAAGTTCGCGCTCGACGAGTGTCTCAGGTTCAAGCAACAGTGGCCCGAATGGATTGCCGGCTTCGACCTGGTAGGGGAAGAAGATATGGGCCGCCCCCTGAAGGACTTTGTCCCCGAGTTTTTGGAGTTCCGGAAGAAGTGCAGGGAGGCCAACGTCGACATCCCGTTCCTGTTCCACTGCGGCGAGACGCTCGACATAGGCAACGAGTCTGACGGCAACCTCTTGGACGCGCTGCTTCTCAACGCGAAGCGAATCGGTCACGGATTTGCCCTTGCGCGCCACCCTTACATCATGGAGCAGATAAAGAAGCAGAACGTTTGCCTCGAGCTCTGTCCCATCTCCAACGAAATCCTGGGTCTCACGCCTCGCGTGGGGGGCCACCCCATGTATAATCTGCTTGCCAACAACGTCCACTGCACCGTAAGCTCTGATAACGGAACGTTTTTCGGGTAAGCATTCCCTATACAATTTTTTTGTCGGATCTGAGATACACTCCACGTCTTGCCCGAGGGAATTCGTTCTAACGGAGGGTTATATTATAGGTCAACATTATCCCACGACTTTTACCAGATGATGGTCGGTAAGAGCGATATGACCCTCCACGGATGGCGACAACTCATCGAATGGAGTCTCGAACACTCCTGCATGGACGACAAGGAAAGGGCAAGGGTGTACGATATGTGGGAGGGGCGCTGGAATCAATTTCTGCATGAGGTTATCGACCTCGGTATGAAGGAAGGGTTCCTGTAGGTCGCCGTTCTTTTCTTTTCTTCTCTTTTCGTTTCTTTTTTTCTTTTTCTCTTCTTATTTTTCTTTTTTCCTCTCTCTTGACTTTCTCAGTTCGACATTCGACGCACGATGCTGCGGCTCAAATAAGAGCGGAACAGACGACAGACGAGAACGGAGTTGGCGGTGTTTATTTGACCTGGTCGGATGGGACATTGGGCTAGATTTTATTCGTCTTGTCCAGTTTCCACTATTATTGTTTTTTTTTCGTTTATTTTCTCATCCCTGGAAGAAATGTTGGTCACGCGACTTTGCTACCGAGAGGTTAGACGCAGCGTTTATGAATATATTTTTGATTTCTTTTGCATGATGGCCCGTCAGTGCATGTCTAACAAAATCCGACACGAGCACTTCCAAGAGTGAACCAGATCTTCTTCTGAGCACACATCTAACCATGCCGATATCACATCTCATCTTGTCTCCCAATGCCAAAACATCACATGAGAATGTATTCCTCTAGCAAGGTCGGCTCTTTTGGTCGTTCTCACAAAATAATATGCGTTGGCGCCAGCGGTACATGGAAAGCAATGCGGAACGAGATCGATGCACCTGTGTCTGGGGTGTAGGAGTACGGAGTAGGAAAAGTTGCTGACGGCTAACCTCCTAAACGCCCACCGGCTGTGCTGCAGTAAAAACGCAAAGCAAAAGCAAAGCGAAGCAAATGCAAGAAGACGAAACCAACATGGCAAGTAAAAAGAGAAGCCGCCCATCATCCAGCCCCTTCGTCATAGCAGGTTTAGTCCTGAAACTTGATGCCGCCGCGGCCGCTGATGTCGATAGCACCGCCGCGATAGCTACCCCTCTTCTTCTTGTTCTTCTCCTTGGTGAATCCCTTGCCCTTGGTGACGACGAGGTCTTCGTGGGCCTTTTGGCTGTACGTGTTGTAGACGTATTCGTTGGATGCGAAGCGCGGGTCGACGCGGACGCCGTCGGAGATGCGGGAGAAGGGGACATTCTTCGTTTTGCCGTTAGCATCGGGTTTGGCGCTGCCACCGCGGTTGTTCTGCTTCGGGATGGTTGGGTCAGGAGGGGGAGGCGGAGCCTGGAAGTCGGGCGACTTCTTGTTGTCGAGCGTCACGGAAGAAGAGGGCGAGTCTGAGGAACCCGCGGCCTGGTCAGCCTTGGTCTTGGCGCTGCCGTTCTTCTTCGACTTGGTCTTGGGTGCGTCATCCTCAGAGTCGGACGAGTCGGATGAGCTGGAGTCGGATGAGCTGGAGTCGGATGAGCTGGAGTCGGAATCGGAATCGGCATCGGAATCGGACCCAGATTCGGGCAGAGGCACCTTTGCAGCCTTGGAGGCACCAGACGACGAGCTCGAGTCGGAGCTATCGCTATCGGAGGAAGAATCCGAGGAAGAAGATTCCGACGAGGACGAAGATGAAGAAGACGAAGAGGACGACGAGGACGACGAGGACGAGCGGCGAGCCTTAACAGTCTTCTGCTTCTTCGACTTTGGGCGTCGCTCGTCCTCCGAGCTGGAGTCAGAGTCGGAAGAGCTCGAGTCAGACGAATCGCTGGTGTCCGAGGGCGGCGCTTTGCGCTTCAGGCTGGCGATAGGAACGGCAATCTTGGCAGGCGGCTCGTCATCGCTGTCACTGTCGCTGTCGCTTTCAGAGTTGGATTCCGGCGTCTCAACGTCCGCCATGTCGACGTCGCTGCTATCATCGGAGCTCGAGTCGTCGCTGTCGCTGTCGCTGTCGCTCTCCTCTTTTACTTTGCCGGCGGCCTTGCTGGCGGGACCAGCTTCACCCTCGGGAGTGCTGAGGGAGGTCTTCCAGGCCTCGAAGACATTGGCAAGGCTCTCGCGGCGCTTCTTAGCCGTCTTTTTCGTAGACGGACCGGCGCCCGTCCAACCCTTCTTGGCCCGCTGCTTCTTGAAGGCCTCGTGTGCGTTGGAGAAGGAATGCTCAGAAAGGAAATCCTCGACCATGTCCATGAGCTGGGGCGGAGGTGCGGCCGACGTTTCTGTGGCCGTGGCCGTGGCCGTGGCCGTGGGCTTTGGCTCCTTCTCTTTCTTCTTCTCCATCACATCCTTCTTAGTCTTCTTGGAAGTCTTCTCCTTCTTCGCCATGGTGTCAGCGGTAGCAGTTGATACCGACTTGGTTGGGCGAGGTGCCGTAGTAGGTTGAGCCGAGTTATTGGAGAAGAGCCACGCTGGTGGACCACTCGACATGAAATTCAGGGAAATTGAGTAGGTATGCAGCGAAAATGGCGCTGATGATGCAAGCCTTCGTGTACTATAGGAGAGAAATGATCGGTGGGCAGTGCTCGTGGACCTGATATCTGTCTCGGTCAAACACAATGATTACCGGCATGAGCTTTGGGTCGCATTGGTGTTTATGCCAACCTTTTTTTTTCCCTTCCTTCTCGACCACCGTTATCAGTAGGTACCAGCTTGGACCCCTGTCCTGGCGCCCAATAGTTTATCATTTGTCCGACGTTGTGACTAATCCGTTCCTGGCTAAGCGGTCAAGCTACGCAAGAGGTACGTACCTACTTTGTTCGTATTAAGTATCCGTACTCCGTCGACCTGCATGAATCTTGTGTCGTCGTCCTTGTCGACAGGTCCTTTGTTTGGTTTTGGTTCGTTCGTACTCCTTGAACCATCGTCTCACCCAATTCTCCCTCTTTCTCACTTTTTCTACGTATCTACCTCATTCTCCCTTGTTTATGTATAACCAGGAGCTATCTTCTATTAGTCTCTTATTATCCAAGAGCGCACTGAGACAGTCGCATTCCTGGTTGCAACTTTACCTGTCCATTCCGGGCAACCAAACAGCGCCCCCCCCCGGCTGCCTTCATTTTGCCAGTTCCTCCCCAATTTTGCGCCCTGGCCACTGACTGACACCGCCCCGAGTCCCGAAGTGCCGAATCGCAATGAATGCCACCAAGCGAAAGTTTAACTCCCTCATCCAAGGGATCGGCAGTAGATCAACCACCCCATCTGCTTCCCGTCCCGACGACTCTCCCTCCATCAGTGCCCTCGACTCCCATCGACGTTCGACCTCGTCCCTTGTCCCCAATAACTCTCCCGCCGCCTCCAAAATGTCAGTCGACGATGATATCCTCGCAAAGCGCCGCCGTCTGCAGGCCTTAACGGAGAAGAACGCCGCCGCCACCAACACTATTAAATCCGTTGGCGGCACTGGTACCACGAAAGTCTCCAACGTCGTCCCGAAGAAGTGGTCACCCAGCACGACGAGCCTAAGGGACACCACAAAACTGGCCCCGAAGTACGCCCCGACCGATCGTAACGAGCTGCTGAGGAGACTGGCTACATTTCAGGAGATCACCGATTGGACCCCCAAACCCGACAAAGTTAGCGAGATCGAGTGGGCCAAGCGCGGCTGGGTCTGTCAGGGAAAAGAACGCGTCCGGTGCTCGCTCTGCAACAAGGAACTAATCGTCAAGCTAAATAAGAAGGAGGTGGACGGTAAAGATGTCCCTGTGCTGGTGGCATCCGATGCTGGTGCGACAACCCCCACGTCTCGGCCCTCTTTCTCCCCGCCGTACGATGAACTCACACCCGAGGCAGAGGAGGCTCTGAAGGAGAAGTACGCCGACTTGATTGTGAGCGCTCATCAAGAAGACTGCCTATGGAGGAGGCGCGGGTGCGACGGTACGCTTGCTACTCGGATACTGCCGTGTTTCTCTGTCTCCCGCACAACTAACAACTAACAACTAGTAGATTCGTTGCTGCGCTTATCTTTGACCAACGCCCGCGCCAGCCTAGAGGCACTACGGGAACGATACGATGCTTTGTGCGCGAGAAACCCATTTCTGCCGTACGAGTTCAACCTTCGGCTTCCCGACGACTTCAGCATCGACACCATTCTTGTCCAACTGCCCGGGGACTTCTTCACCAACCCACCCCCCAGACCAGAGACGACCCCAACGGAACAGCCCAACAGAGTAGCTCTGACATTAGCCATGATGGGCTGGGAAGGTCTCTCGAATCCGCGCATCGGCGCCGTGCCCAACTCGGCCTCTTGTCATACCTGTCTGCGAAGGCTCGGCTTGTGGATGTTCAAAAGCAAGGAAGTCGGCCCGGGTAACGAGGTATTGGTACCAGCGCCAATGGACCACCTCGACCCCGTGAAGGAACATCGGCTCTTCTGTCCCTGGAAGAACCCCGAAGCGCAGCGATGGAGCCACACGAAGCCAACGTCGGAGGGGGACCTTCCGGCATGGAAGGTATTGGCCCAGGTAATCAAGAACGACGCCTACCTTCGTGGCGCGTTGGATAACCGACCCAAGAGTCGGGCGCGACCGGGGACAAGCAAAGGGGCGCCCAACGGGGATATCCAACCGTCGACACCAAGACGGCCAAGCACACCGACAACACCTGGCGGGAGGGGAGTTGCGTCGCTAGATGGGTCGTCTGTCAGCTTTGCGGAAAGGGACGAGGAAGAGAATGAGAAAATCCGGGATGCGAAGGACAAGGAGAGGTGGGCTCGTCTACGGAGAGTGAAGAGTCTCTTCGAAACAAAAGGTGGGAAGAGGTTACGCAGAACCCTTAGCCGGCCGGGCACGGGGCATTCCAACCGATCAGGACTATCAGAGAGCGAAGCAGCGAAGGAGCCATAAGCACGGATATGTAGATTGCATTGGTTGGGTAATTCGACATCTCGGACAGCAACTCGATTCGATGTATGTATGGGACAACCCGTCAAGGGAGCGGGCCGCTGCCCACTACAAATCACAACCAATCTCTAGACAGCGAATTTTGAGGGATACCCAAATGCCGATTCTGCTTGCAATGCGCCGAATTCGACCATACAGTGAATTTGCATCCCAAGGTATGAAATTGCATGGCGCATGGTGTATTATTACAGAGTAATAGCATGCAACATGCACACGGAGCCATAACTAGGTGCCATGTAGACCGTCTATCTATACACATATTACTATTTACTCGTTTTATAGTGGTGAAGAAAGCAGAAAACAACAAGGCGTCGCCATAAGTCCGATCGATGAATACGGTATCCTGAAGGAATCTCGTCCTCCTAGGTATAAGGTAGGTACCTAATTAAGAGGTACCTTACATTGCTGATAAGATATCACGATAAGAGGTTTCACGATAAGATTTCTTATCACTGTATCTTTCATAGACTACCGCATACTGCAGGGGACACTGTAATAACTTCTAAAAATAGTAATAACGCATTACTAGGTATACGCCGAAGGTAGGCTTAGTAGTACTGTTTACCTTTATATATCAGAATATAGTAAATAGTAAGTTAATAATTTCGCCTATAACTATTACGTATAAAGCCTATATAAATAAGAATTTCTTATAATCTGCTATATAATACCGCGTAAGTATTTACAGTACTTGCTGGCTCTTATATCCAAAGCCCGCATAAATACAATTATCTTAAAAGCTATTATATAATATCGCGTAAGCATTTACGGTACTTCCTGGCAGTATCTTTCCATTATAAATAATTTAACGCGATAATCTTACTATCGATATAATAACGGAGGACGTCTTTTTACTCTGCCCTATTCTGAACATTAAATATACACTTTTATTTAATCGAAATCCCTATTAGGCGGTCTGTCTAAGCTATGGTTTATCTCTTAATACCACTAGCCGGGTTAAAAAAGAAACTTCACCGGCCTTTTCGGATAGGTCTGTTATTAATTTAACTGAATTAACACTACCTAGAAAGGAATAAAAGCCTAAGACGGAAACCAGGGCCGTGTAGGCGCCTAGAGCCCGGTAAGGTTAAATACTAATACGGGCGCTACGGCTTAGTAAGACAGAGCGAAAAGTCAGTATCGCGTAAACTAGTAAGGAAAAGTAACCCACGCCGATAAAGAAAATTAGTATTACGTTATATAGCGGCGAGTACTATATAGTCTCGAGCGGCGGTATCTCCTTTTAAAAATTTATGAATATACTCGGATAAAAGGTTATAGGCCGAGTTACTATTTTACTCGACCTAGTATTACCTATATATTAAGATTATATACGTTATATTATTATATAGTTTAACACGAAGAAAGAATAGTTTAACCGAGACTTTACGGTTTTCCCTTATAACGATAAGAACCCGTAAAAAGTCGACTTTTATCGAAGCGAGATATATATAACTATTACTTTACGTACGCTACTACGCGAGTCTAGAATTAGACTTTCGAAAGAAGTTTATCTTAGCTTTCTTCCTATAACGGAAGTCGAAGCCGACTAACTTAACTCTAATATTTCTCGTAAGCGCGCGGGCCGAAAAATAACTATATAAAAAGAGCCGGAGGAAGAAGATAATATTCTAATTACGGTAAAGAAAGAAATCACTAAGCGGCCTCGCGTGGAAAAGAATAAAGGTAAAGGAAAGGCTACCGATAAAGAGTAAGAAGGATTATAGCTAGCTAATACTAGATAGCCGGAGCTAAAGAAAGAAAAAGAGGAATAGATAGAATTAAAGTAAGAAAACGACGAATAAGTGGAACTAAAAGAAGAAAATAAGGAACCGGTGGAATAAAAGCCGCGCTAATCTCGTAAAGTTATTATACCGGCCTTAATAATAGATCTACGCGACCGAACGGTATTATCTTCGGCTAGACGGAAGCGTATAATCTCGAAAGTAGAAGGCGAAATAGATTAATAGGGTAAATATATTTATAAATAGTTAGAAGGCAGAAATTTTAAATTATTTATTCGCTATAGTCTTTATTACTTATAATTTTATCTACTACTAGATCCTTAGTTCTAATCCCCTTATTTCTGAAAAACTCTTTAACCGAAGTAATACTACCCTATAGCATAGAAAGCATTATAAGAACGGGTTCTTTCTTCTCCTAATCGTATAAGTATAACCCCTTTCGTATATACTCGTATAAAGGTAGCGAAGGATACTACTTACCTTCTATAGTAAGAATTTCTAGTAGACCTATCGCTATGGCTTCTATACTACTATAAATTTCTATTATTATTTATAGAAGATATTAGTTAAGGCTTACTAGCTTATCTATAAGAACGTTTTCTAACTTACGAAGCCGTATAGGATTAACCCGAACGTAAAGGTTAGGACTATTCTAGTAGTAGAGGGCCTAGGGCTTTCCGCTTATAATATATAGCGTAGATAGTTAGGCACGAATTATATAGTAGTTATATACTTATATAAAGCGGGTAAAATCCGTTCGAATTAGAGGTATATAGACGTAGAGAAGGGTAATTTTATCGATAATAGAATAAGGATCGAAAAGGCCGTGTTTAGAAAAATAAATACAGAATTCCTAGAAGAATTAGTAAAAAGTGCTAAAAATAGAAGAAACACTATATACTTATACACTAAAAAGCCGCGCGAGATTAGCAAAGTCTATTCTACTATAATTTAATCCGTTAATTATAGATACTTTTACTAAATACCTAGTAATCTTTAAACGTAATTAGAACCTCTTATCCGGCAGCGTTTATCTTTATATAAGAGCCGGCGGAAAGAAACTAGTAGCCGCCGGCTATAAGCGTTATTTCTTTATCTTAGTCGGAATAGATTAATTATAGGATAAAGCTAACTTACTAAATAACCTTTATATATTAAGTAAGTATATTTTTAGATATATACGCGGATACGCCCACGTAGAATTAAGTTATAAACCTCGAGTACGTGTTTATCCCTATGTATATTTTAAAGCCGAAGGGTAATAACTTATCGTACGTATCTATAGACTAAATAAAATTAGGTCCCGGCGTTGTCTAGCCTTTTCGATAGTAGCGTATCTCCTTATACCTTACCGCCACGTCTTTGGGAAATAGTTCTGTGAATATACAGTATAGCTCGTATACGCTAATAATAAAATCTTATTAGCGTATAAACGTGTAGAGCTATACTTTGCCTAGGCCTCTTATAAATAATACCGTAAGGTCTTTCTTTTCGAAGACTAGCTTTATACGCTGGCGTTCGGCTTCGATTTATTCTGTATCTTAACGTCTCTAAAGGCGCTGATATCTACGGATTCGTTTAAGGCCTCTCCTTAAGATCTAGAAGCTTTCGGCTTAGAGCTAATGGAGTATCTCGTCGTTATTAAGAACGTTAAAGAAAAGCGTGTAAATACGGCGAATAAGATTATCGGTAATAAGCGTACGAGTCTCTCTACGTAGGCCTTATACCTTATAACGACGCTATAAGGTCTAGCGTGTTACCGCTCTACCTATCTACTCTTCCACGAAACGGTATAAAGCCTAATCGGTATAACCCTCTTCGTAGCGGCGATATATCTCGTCGCGTAGGGGTTCTAGGTTAAAGTATTTACCTCGTATAATAGAAGGAGTCCAGAAATTATTAGAAAGTGTAATACGCGCTCGTAAAGGGTTATCCGGAGACAGAATAGAGTTCGCCTAGTAATAAAGATATCTACTAAGATAAAAAGAGAACCGACTAGCTAGCGTATACGTACGTATACTATCGTATAATATAACCTGTTATAGTAATATAGCGAAAAGGATATATATAAATACCTATATATATTTAATATTCTATATTATAAAATAATACTATATTATATAATATAACATATATAATTCTAATATCTTAAATAAGATATTATAATATAAGTAAAAGGTTATATTATATTAAAGGTATAATATATATAGATAATTATACGATATTGATACAGGATACTACTATTAAGATACACTTAAAATATAAGCCTTATAAGATTATAAATATATAGCTATATTATTAAGAAAGCTTTTTAAAAGTAGTAAAAGGTAGATTAATACTTAAAATATAGTATCTACTATCATTATTATAATAATAATAATAATAATAATTTTATAATAGTATATTATATAGTAATATTCTTACTATAAATACACTATTATATTTAAATCGTTCCTTTATTTAACTATAACCGAATTTAGTTATATTAATCTATCATTAACTAAGCTCTAAGTAGTATATCGTATAGATATACTCTCTTAGTAAAACTAGACCTATTCTTATTTTAATAA